ACTGCGATGAGGATTTCTCGCAGTTGGGAGTCAAATGCCCCTGAGTTGGTGGTAGGGGCAGGCTGGGACGCGGACGGGGCTTCCCGCTCGGGGAGGTTCGCCTGGAAGCGGGCGAACTGAGCGCTCAGCTCGTTCACCCGCTCCGTCAGCTTCTCGTTGGCCACCTGCAGGCGAGAGACGTCGCCCGCTAGGCCCTCCACGACCTCCGACAAAGCCACGACCTCCGACAAAGAAACCCCTATACCAACCCGTCTGGCCAGCGTGGTATAGTAGGTCAAAACCTCCTTTCTAAGGAGAGGTCTATGTCCACTAGTGAAATATTATAGGCTGTTGATGTGATGATAATTGTAGTATAAATGTGCCTCAATAAAAATTACAAATAAATCCAATAACACCCAGATAAATCACAAACCTCACTTGCGACAATTTTTACTACTAAATACGTTCTTATCGCTAATGATTAATATATTATATGATGAAATTTTTTAGATATTGATCATTTCATTTCATTGATTTTAAGGCACATTCATAATATTATTATGTTTTGATATGTTTTAGTAATATTTTTACGATACCAACATCAATCTAATCTGTAAATGGTAGATTTACAGATTCACTCAAAGCAGTGGATTACGCTCAAGTTTATGATTCGGAGAGCAGAATTCAGCTGATTTGTCATCGAATTGTAATAGATTTGAACATTTTAAAACTCGCTTTTTTACATACCAATTTTTTTTACAGCAACATTTGTACTCTCCAGCAGAGGTAACAGAATGGTGCTCTATGATGGGTACACGTTTACAGAAGTGAAGGAATATCCGTGGTGTAAAGTTAAGAGGTGGACTTGCTCTAATCGTAGATTGTACCGCTGCACCGCAAAATTGAGGACGTTGGATGGGATCATCGTAGCTTTGGACAGTGTCCACAGTCATCCAAGACGATGTCGTCCTAATTATAAAACTGAGTAGATGAACCGTACGGCGTTAATTATAAATAAAATAAATAATAATAAAATGTTATAATTATAATAATGATTTGACTTGAATTGTATTTATTCTTAAATTATTTAATTTCTATTGTAAATTAATAATGAGATTATTTCATACTAAAAACAAAATTGAAATAAAAGTTAATAATATTGTTAAACATTACTGTATTATTCATTACTTGTTACTAATTAAAAGTTATTTTCATCTAGGAAATATGGTCGTTTCTAACATACGTCTAATTGATATCGCATCGATACACGTCACATACGACAAATAACCTTCTGCTAAAATTATCTTATTTTTTCTTACTTTATAATGAAGATGGTCCCAATGCAATTATAGTCCTAACGATAATTGTTTTCCTCCGGAATCTAGATATTTAAACTAGGTTTTTTTTTTCAGCAACATTTGTTTGGTCTCGAAGGGGTAACAAAATGGTGCTTTATGAAGGGTACACGTTCACAGATATGAAGGAGTACACAACATGTCGAAGAGTGAGATGGACTTGTTCAAACCGTAAAAAATATCGATGTACTGCAAAATTGAGGACCTTAGGAGAATTTATCATAGCTATTGATCCTATACACAATCATCCGCCACCAAGTCGGATCAATTACGAATATAGAACATTTTAAATAGAATTTAGTTATTTTTAAGCTTGTATTGTTAATGAAATACCTTCTACGAAGTTTTGAATCAACCTTGACTGATGGAATAAATAAGCTTTTAATTTGAGTATCATTAACTATTGTTATTTTCATTTTCACCCAGTTAATGTTTATTATTTTGGTAGTTGTTTTGCGAATAATATTTTTTAAACTACTTGGAACATGTTGTTAGGTAGAGAGTTCTAGAGAATGACTATATTTTTTCTCAAATGTGAATAAACTCATATAATTTAAGCCTCTTTGATGTCTACCTTTGTCTTAATGACCTACTGCTAAAAGTTTAGAACTTCTTTTAGTAAGTTAAAGTTTAGTGTGGCATAAACACATACGATTTAATTTCAGCAAAATTTGTTATATCGAGGAGAGGCAACAAAATGGTACTGTACAATGGATACACGTATACTCAAATGAAAGACAGTAGACAAAGCTGTCGAACGGTGAGGTGGACATGTTCGAACAGAGCGAAATATCGATGTACTGCGAAATTGAGGACTCTAGAAGGTATCATTATAGCTCTTGACGACTGTCATAATCATGATAGAGTGAATAGCGACTATGATTTTACTAATTTATAGTGTTTTACTTCTGAAATACAAGTTTTGATTTTCTATCCTTTGATTGTATTTGTACGGATGGTCTATATACTCATACGTACCACGTACAACAGTACAGTGCCTTCAATGTTTTATATGGAAATAATAACGGTTAGAATAAAAACAGATCTATGTATATATAAAATTGCAGCTATTGATAAAAGTATTGTATTGCATTAAGTATTAGATTGTTACATGTTTCATATTTTAATAAAAAAAGTATTTTATTATACACCTTTTTATTTTTTAGTTATTGCTGTTTTATCTCTATATTTTGAGTTCTAGAAATTCTATTAGATGTGTTGCATCTCAAAAAATTTAATATGAAATATTAGTAAGCTATGTGGTTAATTAGAATTCATGTTACCACGTACTAGTATTGATTGTTTTTGTAGTCTGTATTGATTGGTTGTACGAATACTTTCAGTACACATCATCATCACATCAACAGCCTATACTAGTCCACTGCTGGACATAGGCCTCTCCTTAGAAAGGAGGTTTTGGCCTACTATACCACGCTGGCCAGACGGGTTGGTATAGGGTTGTTGTGTGCGCAGAGTGGCACACCGTGTGGTTTTAGTCGGTCCGAGTCCGACACACCACCCCGCCGCAAACCGGTGGGGTGACGGTCCGAGGGGATTTCCACACGTTAAAAAAAAAAAAAAGGGTTGTTGTGTACTTTCAGTACACATGAAAATCTTTTTAAAAACTATTTTTATGTTATTTTCATATCTAATTACCACAAAATAATCTTATGACCAAATTTGTACATAATCTAAAATTTTACTAATTTTGGAAAATCTAAAAAGCACTTTCTAAAATATTTTTAAGCTACTATTACATTATTGTGGTCTTCAAGAGAGTTAAATCGACTTTAAACTTCTTAGAATCGTACTTTCTAAATACATTTTATCAAACACACGCTAAGTTTACCACATTTTCTATACATACACAAGATTTTTAGATAAAAATATATAGGTTACCATTAAATGTTACCACTAGAGATGAAACTAAAGGACCAGGTGTTCTGGCTGTCATTACGATAAGCTTTACATCTGATAAGTCTCTAGTCATGTGGGTTCAATGTGCTCTTTGCCTAGTTGCCTTCAGGACAAATCGAAAAAAATGCTTAGTCCTATGCTATCGAAGAGCAAAGCATCTTGCCTTTCCGTCCATAGCTGATTTTCCCGATATTACATGTGAGTACATCATATATCTTTAGAAAATAACTATGAATACTACCTCATCAAAATTATTTAGTTATAAACAGTTGAAGGCAAATAGTTCCTGTTTCTAGTTTACTTGCTATTAACAATGTTTAGTTTCATCAATAAAAAACTGAAGGCCAATTCTTGTGAAAAAAGTTCGGTCACAATTCAGTTCCGATAAACTCTCGATCTCACAACTGTCATAAAAGGTATTTTCGTATTAAGCATCCAACGTTGACTGTAATGTGATCAGATCATATTGTAACCGAAAATTGAATCGATAATCTGCTGGTAGTCTCAATAATCTTTTACTACCTTTCATGACAGTTGTGAAATCGAAGGTTGATTGAAACTGAATATTGACCTTCAGACTTGTTTTTCATGCTGCTTAATAAATTCAATAGTTTAGTAAGTTATGGTGAAACTTCCACCTCTGGGCGACCAATTGTTGCTCAAAATGTATAATCAACACGATTCAATACTCATTTATTTAATTACAGCAACGTTTATAATGTCTGTAAAAGGTAACAGGATGGTCCTGTACGATGGGTATTCCTTTACGGAGATGAAAGAAAGAACTCTTTGCGGGAGAATAAGGTGGACATGTTCGAACCGAGCAAAATATCGATGTACCGCCAAACTGAGGACTCTACATGGAAGTATCATAGCCATCGATAACAACCACAACCATCCAAGATCGAAGAAGCGTCGATATTGATAATATAAACTGCAGAAATTGTGAGGCCTTACAAATATTGTTTTTGAGTAATTGTAGTAAAGAAAAATGTATACTTTGTTACAATGCAGGGATTACGTTGATTTATATTCAAAAGTGGAAATGACGTAGTCCAAAATTAACCAGATTTTTGTTATTGAATATTGTCATCTAAATTCATAGAATGGATTAGATGAATACAGGTTATATTGGTGACATTGATAAGTTTGAGTTATAAGAAGGGCTCTGTGTCACCGATTTTTAACTTTAGTAGTACCTATGTAAAAACATAATACTTATATGTTTAAAGATTTTATGAAATATGTTAATTATTGAAATATTTTGTAAAATTTCAAATAGTAATATTTTATAATAATTTTAAGACAAAAAATAGAAATTCATAACTGAGATGACCTTTTCTTGGCTTTTTAATATGTCCGCTAGAAATTATGGAAAACTTATTTTCAACCCTCTCATCTGCTATTTTTCTACATCTCTGAATGTTTTGTTATTAAAAACGTACAAAATAATCGTTGTTGTTTTTTTTTACATCCCAGTTTTTATGTAATGATTAAAATATGAATTAGGTAAAAAATATTTTAAACATTATAATACTTTTAATCATTTTAGAAAATTATTAAATAAAAGTTTAATTACTCAGGAAAATGTTACTTATAAGATAAACCACTTTTAATTTAAACGCTTTTCCTTTATTTTTATTATTTTGTATACATACATCCAGTAACTAAAACTGAATCGAATTTTAACAAAACTTATCAACTGTCACTCTTTTTTCAGCCCCTTTAGCCCACTACGTTATTTCCAAGATGGGTCGGAAGAGCACTTGCCTGTTGGTGGTGAATGGCTATCGTTACGGGTTCAAATACTGTTTTGCGAACAGTACTAAGAAGCATTGGAAGTGTACTAATCATAAGAAGTCTTGCAAGGCTACCGTGTTTACCGATGGGGACGAGGTAGTGTTCTCAAAAGGAGAGCATAATCACGAACCGCCTGGGTCCATGTATTCATACGGTCACTATGAAGACTACTCAAATTATAGTGGGTGGCCAATTCAGTAGGTACAATAAGTTCCATTAATTCAGTAGTACAATAAGAATAACTTCACACATCTCACACACGGCAGTTTAATTCCAGACTAGGCAGAGCCAGGTGGTAACCAGACTGCTGATAAACATACTTATATACTTACTTCTAAATACATACATATTTTGGATAAATTATACCCAGACACAGAACAGTCAGGGTCACTAACCACTAGACCAACAGGTACATAGATATATCAGCAATAACATAAAACTATTATTTGTGGGTTGCGTCCTTCAAATGAAAGCCATAATCACAATGCTTGGTAGGATAATTGCTTATTTGAAACTATACGTATAGAGGGTATAGGTTAAGGCTTACACTATTACTCTTTTAAAGTATGACATTAAAATAAATGGGAAAGTTAGTACTCTAAATACTGTCAACTAGACTTGCAACGAATAGTATATTCGGCAGTATACCGAATACCGAATATTCGGCAAGGCCCCTGACCGAATAGCCGAATATTAGGCAAAAGTATTCGGCTGGATTTTAGCGCCAAAAACTTGTACAGACGTGAATTAAATTATGTCCTGTTTTATGTACCAATGACTACTTAATAAATGATTATAAAAGAAATGAGAACCTTACCCTTCTAAATTTTGATTACCACAATAATTCAAATACATAGAATCCTCCATTTTTCCAATTCAGAAGATGATTATGTACCTGTGTTATGCACCAATGACTACTGAAATGATTATAACAGAAATGAAAATATGAATATATACGTAATCAATCGATTTTAATTTTCCATTTTACCAATTATTTCTCAATGACAAAATATATTATTTAAGTATTCGGTATTCGGCCGAATAATATGTAGATATTCGGTATTCGGCCGAATATAATAAAAGCAGCCGAATATGCCGAATACCGAATAGTAACCGAATATTCGTTGCAAGTCTACTGTCAACCCTTTAAAGTGCCTAAACACACACATACACAAGAAAATCCTCATGGCAGTCAGTCCCGGCAGTGCCTAACTAAATTATTTAAATAAATTTTACGGATTTTTCTGCAACCATATCAGTCAGTCTTTTACGTTTTAATACATTTTGCATTAGTGGTCGATAACATGTATGTTGTGAAATATTTTTTATGTGTACAAAATGTTTCCTACCATAGTCCTATTGTCATTAGGTTAGGCATAGCCTTCATTTTGTTCAAATTCATTACACAACGCCCACATACATTGAAAGGTAGCTTACCGCTACTAATATTGCCATTGAAATTTTAAGTCTACATTCTAGCATGACTTTATACTTCCTAATAAAAACACCTCGTAAAGGAGATTCTCAGTCTATCATGGCTGAGAATCTCCTTAACGAAAATTCTGAAAATCATAAGTATCCCTATGATTTTAAGAATTTTTATATTCCTACGATACAATTTAGCAATAGTTTTCAATTTATAAAATTGTTATAAAGTCTAAAAATATGTAAAGGAAGTTGTATTAGCCCAAATTATTTATATCTATTATTTTAATAATAAATACTAAATCGCATTAGCAGCGTGCGTTTCATTTTTAATTGATCTTCAGTTTCAGTCAACAACGTTTTTTATTTACTAATACGTACGCTTCTTCAAAGAGTACAAACTTCTGGTTTTGCTTCGGCAAATAAGAGCTGACTCAACTGGTCGACAAAGCAATTCTTCTGTTGCATTTCACGCCTAATTTTGATGCGGTCGCTCAAAGAACGGGAACGCCCTGGTGACACTTGAGTTGTAAGTAGTCATTGATGGCGGTAGTCACATAATATCAGGTCATGCAGCTCGGGAAAAGATAAGGCAGTTTTTGCGACCGGCAGATGGTGGATCATCTGTATCGTTAATGATCCGTAGGAATTGAGGTCCCAGGCGATTCTAATCCTTTCAATCTTTAATGGAACTATTTTTTTAGGTGAAGCAGAGTATACGTATTTTACTTCAGTGAGAGGAAATCGTATGCTTATGTACGATGGCTACAAGTACACCATGACGCGTGATAAGCGCCACAAACCTCAAACTGGTAAAATGAGATGGAGATGTTCCACACATCATAACTTTGGCTGCAAAGCAGTATTGTTCACTATAGAGGAACATGTTGTGTCTTGTAAGAATAAACATAATCATTGAGCTAACCTTCAATCTCTTCCCGTGGCTCTTATTCTTACAGATCAATTCGTTGCGCTTATTTCGTGTTATTTGGGACATTTTTTTTATTATACAAATAAAGAAAATGGCTTTCTTCATTTGTCTTTCCTTTTTTGTATCTACATTACAGCAATAGACTAGGCAGAGAGTGACTATGTTGATAATTTTACTGTGTATTGTGTTGTCAGAAAGTGCGGTTTATATAAAATATATATTTCTCTTTCTAGGCATTCCCGAATACAATTTTGTGAAATCTAAACGAGGAGATCATTGGCTGATTGTGATAGGTGGTTATAGATTTTCCATGAGGAAAAAAACAAGTTCTAAACATAATAACAGAATGCTTTGGCGATGCTCGACACACAACTGTTCGGGGTGCACTGCTAAACTATACACTATTCAAGACGAGGTCATATTTGTTCAAAACGAGCACAACCATCCACAACCACCCTCGTATGAAACGAATTCTTTTAGTACCGTAAACAAACTGTTATTTTAGTATGGTGGTGTGATGACGGTAAGTTTCAAGAGTTACTTTTAGTGATAAATTTTCGCTAGAAATGAACTTTATTTGAGGTAATGCGGCGGTCCATTCAGTGAACATTAAATGTTCACGCTTACAAATTTTGCAAGAAAAAAATTCGTTAACTTTATAATGTGTTATAGCGTATTAGTTAAAATGCACTCCGACTATTAGCACTAAAACCCTGAATATCGCAAATAATCTTGACATCGCAAACTGATCTTAATGGGGCAAATTAGGAACAAGGTCTTTTATACGTAAAAGTAAAGTAAAATCTGAATTGTTACGTTAGTAGATGTAATATTTAGTATAAGCATTTAAAAAAATTGTCGGTGTTCAAAGAATATTTCTATAAAAATGTAGTCAACGGCAAACAGTGTATAAGTTATAGATATGTAAATACTTTAGTGCGTTAAAAGCGGCAGCATAGGACAGGTTGTTGTGGCGCACCATGTGGGAGGACCATGTCCATCATTCGGCCGAGATGATGATGGTATACATATATTTAGTTTAGTGGTTTTCATTTCGACAGTTATAAATTCAAGGGTTTTTATGGGTTGTGAGTGTTGTGACAATTGAATTTAAAAATGTCCTTTTACAATTTGATATAAGTTTAATACGCTGTTTACATAGAAGACACCCACTTCCATTTATTAATACGCTTTTATTAGCTTCACTTATAACTAACTAACCTGTAAACAAATCTTGAAAGTCACCTTTCACCTGCTTGTAAATGTCATATCGCAATAAAACTGTGTTTATATTTCGGACGACAATACTATCATTTGGCATTTGGGAGCTGATGTAATAACGGAGGCAGAAAATTTACCTTCTGTGTGTTATGTGGGTCTTATACAGTTAAACATTTCAGTAGGTATAATAATAATATTATTATTTTAACACGGCCGTCCATTCTCAAATTAAGCATCTTATAGATAAATTACACCCTGACTCAGAAAAATAGTCGTGCGCATCACACAATAGCTGTCCTTGGTGTGAATCGAACTCGTGCCCTGGCGTGGCAGTCATAATTACTAATCACGAGACCAACAGGCCACTCAGTAACTAATGATAAAGCCAAGATTTCTTATTAAAGTGTATATTTTTGTTAAACTATAATTTAGTTGAACATTTATACACGTATAAGTATATAAATCTGCCTTCTCCTTCCTACCTTCGACATCTCATTCTGCTTTTAGATTGTAATTATTGCTCCTTTTTTAAATAGTAATGAAAATATAATACGTATGATAAGATGCGATATTTGTTGATTTATTTCATAAAATTTCAATGTCGTAGCTACTCAACTAAATGTTTTTGCTACTGGATGAACTAAATCAATGCTTTGTAAAATACATAAATCAATTGTAACAACACAAATTTTATTATGTCCAATAAATTATTATTATTTTTCCTTTCGTGTTTCATGATACATATATCATATGTGATTTTATCACAACCTATTGAAATGTGTCGATTCATTTAATAAAAACCACTTGTATAATCGTATTTACTATATTTAAACAAATAAACCATTTTAAAAGCTGTTGCTATTCTGTAACTAAAATATTATGAAGACGTTATCGGCTACCAACAGGCAGATAGTAAGCTTGTTTACCTCCTTAATTACATAACGAACGTGTGTCTGTAAAGCAAATCTGATTATTAAAATGTTTACAGGTCCATACCAATATAATTTTGTTAAGTCCAGCCGTGGAACTCGGCTTATAGCAATAAACGGTTTTAGATTCTCAGAAAGAAAAGGGAAGAACGCCACAGAGTACTCTAAAGTGAGATGGCGTTGTTCCACGCACAGCTGTATGGGATGTAAAGCAAGAGTGCATACAGTTTGTGATGAAGTTGTTTTTGTGTGTAATGAACATACTCATCCTCCGCCATCCAATAAAATTGATTACGGGACTTTTGTATGAAGAATCTCAAAAATTTGTTATGCAAACACTTTTTTGCATTAACTGTCTCTATTTTATATCCATATCTTTAAGGAGTTTATGTTGAATATTCCTGTTTGCATTGCAATAAATTGTAAATTATGTTACATCAACCAAAGCTTTGTCTACCATATTTCTTTAAATACATATATACAACCAAACAGGTATGTATAACATAACTGCTGGACTCGAATTTATCTGGTGCTCAACGATTACTACAACTTAGAAGTACACTAAGTAAGAACTTTTGATGTAATTGTGTTGTATAAACTTATAAGTATTTGTGCCTAATCGGTAAGCGTGACGCTTAACGATTAGGCACAAATACTTATAAGTTATGTGTAACCTCTACTACAAGAGTTATTTATGCGTAATAATATTGAAACTTATTCATTTTTGGAAATTTCTCAGAATTTAAATGCTTTTAAAATTAAAAGTTTGGTTTACATACCCCATACCCTTCTCTTACTAGTCTCTAATCACTCTAATCATACTGAGTCATTATTGTAATATATGTGTTGAACGTATTTATTTTGTTCTTTTTCTTAGAATCGAAACATTTTTTTTTGTTAAATCTATATACCTATAGAAAAATGTTAAGTCGGTTTGGGTACGCTTCAATGGAGCCTGATGAAGCTCATACTTTGACACGATATACACGCTTCAAAGATTGTTTTTGCCGACTTATTTTTATAAACAGGTAAAAAGAGTCTTCATCAGTTTTGTACTTACGAGTTATTATGTACTTAAATATGATTTATATTTTTTCAGACGTTCCCGTACCCGAGTTCGTCAAGTCTTATAAAGGAAATTGGCTTATGTTAATCGACGGTTACAGGTTCTCAGCGAGGAAGCAACGTAATACTAACATTAATGTCAAAACTCGTTGGCAATGTTCGACTCATACCACTTACGGCTGTAACGCCCACGCATTCACGATATGTAATGAAGTGGTATATGTAAAAAACAATCACACTCATCCACCACCTTCGAGAAGACCGTATGAGCGTAAAAATAATCCTGATAATTAGTACTTTGTAAGCAGTTCCTAACTTAGCGCCGATTACGTGTGAAACTTATTTGTATGGCTTGTAAATATGTAAAATCGTTTTTTTTTGCACTGAAATGTGCTATTAAATAGAAACATTTAATCGAACTACCCGTAGTGATAGTTTTTTGTTTATTCATATTCACTAAGTCTTAAAATTAAATTTGTAATCACTAAGTCGCTGATTTGGCTAGAATAATGTGTTAAATAAACATAATAATCCCTGAATAAATCGCGACCTTATATGGCTAGTTTTATAAAGTAGTATAAGGCTTTATTACAATAGTAATATTTACCCATATTTTCGAGATTGATGGAAAAGGCATCCAAACCAACAAGAAATGATATGACTACAGTTACATTTGCCCATAAATATATAGTACTAAGACCACACCTGTTTATTTAAAATAATGAGGTTTAATTAAAACGGGAGCAATCATTACCTATTTTTCACCTAAATAAAATGTAGGTACAGATTAAGTTTTCGAGATTATCTGGCAACGTACAAGAATGTTGTTTTTTTTTATTCTTGTAATATAACAGGATTGATTGGTTATTAACTAGCAGTACTGTACTTGTGCAAATATTCTTTGAATAATATCTTCAAATTTGCCAGGGAGTGCGACTTTCCACTCACCTACTTATGTCGACTTGGCACACGCAAAATAGATAATTAAATAACAATGTGTTCTCGGTATACAATGATTTTTTAATAGTAAACAATAAAAAGTGAGTCTTATAATCGTGGTGAAATTATCCATTTAGTACAAAAAATTACATTTCAATAATAATTATAAGAGCTCATCAGTTCATTATTGTTATTAATTAATATTCAAAAAACAAAAACCGGGTTCACATTACGTAGGTAATTAGTATTAACGGAAAGTGTGACAAATTTACATATAAATAGTACATAAATTTTGTAAAGTGGATTGAAAATAATGTGCTATGACTAGAATATATATTATTATTGAATATATATTAGATCAAACAATGGAATATATCTGTGGCGGTTGTAAAGTAACAAGTACTCACGGTTGGTAGTGAAATCGTGAATGTTAAGAAATTTCATAGTCGGACAGCTGCTACGTGTAAGAAGGTAGGTATAGGTAGACCTTGTTAGGGTCCAAGAACTAATGTATAAGTATGTAAACGAGGTAGCTACTTAAAAAACTGTGTCCTGATTACTTTTAACACACAGTTTTTTGGTTCATATAATCTATTATTTCAACTCCTAAGTTAGTTTCCGTAAATGTATAAATATCAATTGAAATTGGATAGTATTTTTAATGTTATTATAACTATTATTTTGAATATTGTAAACCACCTAACTCCTAAGTATGCTTGGATATATAGGACGATTAAAAGAACAGTCTGTCCTATGACTTCACAACAAAAAAAAAATTACAATCGTCTCAAAATCTTTGAAATTAAAATAAATGATACTTGTTAATTTTTTTAGCTGCCAACCGTCAAGAGTTGACGTACCTCACTGCTCGAGGGGGTTGCAAGCTACTTAGCTTTGGAGGGAACACTTACAGCCTTAAGCAGCGTTCTGGAGAAAAGAATATTTGGAGATGTTCTAAATATAATTCACGTGGGTGTAAAGTAACTGTAGTAATGGTCGGTAATGAAATCATGTATGTTAAGAACTCTCATAGTCACGAGGCTCCTATCTCCTGCGACATGTTAGAAGGTATAAGTAGACCGTATTAAACGCTTGGAACTACTATTTATGAAAACGAGTGACTCATATTGAGTTTCTCTAAAATTTCATGAGTTATGTAAAAATGGATAAATATGAATAAATATTTGTCTATACTCGATAATAAAAAAGTGATAAAAATTAAACCTATGTGTTGTGTACAAGGTACATTACGAGTATATAATACAGACAAAAATAAAGTTGATATGTACAAAATATATTTACTAATTTATACTTAGCATAAAGTTCTTAAAACACTAAATAATGATTAATTATTCTTAATCACATTTCTGCCTTGAAAAGTTATTACTTCCATTCATATACCTATTGAGTATCTATAGTTAATTAAATTGTTGTTGATTTGAAAGATAGAATAAAAATTATTTCTTTTCATAAAACACAGCATACAAAAATTAAAGATTTCTTAACAATCAAACATCTTGCCAATGTTTAAAGTTTTCGACAGTTTTCTATTCGTGCGATAAGAATTTTTTAAGCTTTGACGAATAAAAATCAACCTAATTATTAAAATATACAGATCTGATGACAAATTGTTGACAAAATTGTTGTTTAAATTATGTGATTTGGTGTGTTTTATAATATTATAATAATAAATATTATAATATTATTGTATATTATTTTCTATTAATAGAAATAGTTATGTTTTATTAGAATACTAACAATAATTTCTATATTTTACATAAATTAATGTTTTTTTAAATTGATTTTTGTGTCTCTATGTAACAACACTTATGTAAGGCATGATATAGTAAGTTTGGTAGGTATAGATTATCAAAGAGAAAATAATATCTTGTGGTACTGCTTATACGGTAAGATTAGAGTTTTGTCATTAAATCTCCAGCAGAGCGAGTGAAGTGCCTTGTGTGATAGTAATTATGTATGAAGTCTTATCAAGAGCTGATAAGTTTTAATTAAAGAGATTCGTTCTAAAGCTTTATTTTATTTTGAAGCGTACAATAGTTTAGGTATTTTTGAATTATATTCATATATATACAGAATAAGACTCATATATCATAGTTCACATAACTAACATTTTTGTTATTTTTTTAGGTGCCAACACTCAAGGATTGACTTTCGTCACGGCTCGACGAGGTTGCAAGCTTCTCAGCTATGAAGGGTACACCTACAGCTTTAAACACCGTAACGGATTAAGGATTCAGTGGAGATGTTCTAAATACTTCTCCCGCGGGTGTAGAGTGACGGTTGTAACGCTCGGTGACTCTATCGTGTCTATTAACAATACACATAGCCATGAGGCACCTTTATACCTACCATACTACATGTGAAAAGATACTGTTAGAGCACGCCGTTAAGCCTAATTTCCACTTTGATTAATGCGAGTGCAGGTGATTACAGTTTAGTGATAATTACGAGTGATTAGAAGAAATTTGGCGTGCGAGTAGTGTCCAATACTCTTTAACTGCTACGCTTAGTGTAAATAAAAGGATCCATGTAACACGCTAAACACTAGGTAAACACGAAATAAGCATATCCAAATGCACGACACGCTGCCAGAGAAGAGGAAATAGGGTGGCACGCGGTACGTGACCACTCGCAAAAAAATAGAACACGCTCCTAATCATTCAACTTCGCTGATTACTAATCACTCGCACTAATCAGATGTCTATACGTGTTCAGTTCTAATCACTAAACACCTCCATTCACCTGCACTCGCACTAATCAAAATGGCAATTAGCCTTTAGTTTAAACAAGGAGCTTGGTTCATTAAAAGACTCCTATTATACTTGAGTTGCGTTTGCCTAAAATACACCGAGTAATTTAAGGGAAACTGTTGATTTATACTTTTAAAACTATTCTTCTTTAATTTTATAAGAGCGATAATTTGGAAAATAAAAAAAAATTAACACTTCTATTCATTATACTTGAGTTGCGTTTGCCTAAAATACACCGAGTAATTTAAGGGAAACTGTTGATTTATACTTCGGAAACGATTCTTCGATAATTTTAATAATATTTTATTCATTTTTTAATTCATAAGTTACAATCGAGAGCAATGAATCCGAGTTGGATTGTAAATTATTACCTGCAAGACCTCCAACCTATAAAACATTAACTTTGTAAAGTGGCTAACACGCAGTCCTAACCGCAATCCGATTAGATATACTTGGTGAGCTCAGACGATGTGTAAGAAAACAAAACCCCAGCCCGATGACGCTTTGAAGGCATCAGATTTCTCATGGAGGAATTTAAGATATTTTTTTATGTAATGGCAAACAAGCAGACGGGTAACCTGATGGTAAGTGAATACATGGTCGTGGACACCTGCACCTAACAGTCACAAGTGCGCACATAGAGTCCTCCAAACCTAAAAGGAAAGGGGAGTCTGCGGCTCCGGTGACCTCACACACGGTGAAAAACAAAGAAAAAATAGCTTAGCATCGGTTTAATGTGAGGTCGTGGTATGACTCCGGTCGAGCCCATTTGTGCTAAAGCATGGATCTCCCTCGGAAAAACATTCCCCAACATCATATAAGAAATTTTATTGATCAACCAGCTGGTCCCCGCGACTTCGTTTGCGTAGAATTTGAAAAACGCTGCCTTAATGGGTTCGATTACCGGACAAAATTTTATAAGGTTTTTTCTGAGAGAAAAAAATTGCCTATGTTTCTCCTTAGCTAGACAGCTACTTGGTAGTAAAATATTATCAAAATCGGTCCAGCCGCTTTGAAGATTACCCGGAACAAACAGACAGACAGACAATCAAACAAAAAATTTTAAACTAGTTTTTAGGCATAGGTATCGTGCAAACAACCGTGTCAGCATGAAAAAAACCTATTGTTGACGTTACAAACAGACACTTCAAAAATTTAAGTGTCTGTTTGTAATGTCAACATGAATTCATTTGTATAGATTGATTATTTTACCAAGCTGGCATTCTTGTTATCCGATATTTTGAGGTATCCTTATTAATTGTGGTATGATGTGATCCGGATTAATTGCTCTCGAGTTTAAATAACGTTTAATAAAGTAGTAGTAGTTTAAATAGGTAAATAATAAGGTAATAATAAGTTAATTAGTAGTATTAGTTTACATAAAAGAAACTGCGTATAGTTTATTGTATATGTACTAAAATCATACATTATAGAAACAGAAAAGCTAAGTGCGTTTCGGTTTTTTTAGTACACACACTTTTTACGAGCACGCGAGCGTGTTGAAAAGTTTTGTAATTATTTTTAATAGCATTAATATGTATGTAATAAAGATTTATGTTACTTTCAGCTTGTATCTTTTTAATTTTTAGGTAAAAAACTGTTTTTTTTAAATATTATTTCTCTTTCATTGGCTCATTAAGACGCACGTATGAATAAGAGTCAAATTTTCTTACATTTCTCACATACATATTCAGAATAAATACACTCACTGCGATTTTTGTAATTTTGTCTTTAAAAATAAAATAAATAATCTTTCATCCTTTTAATGCATTCTATTCTAGTTATTTATTCTTTTATAATTCTTATAAGAGTGTAATCTTAAATTTAAAGTAATAAACAAAATGAACTTAATTACTAAGTTGCGCAAATTATGTAACAGCAAGTGAATAAATTGTATTGTCTAATTAATAATAAAATGTAGTAGTAAAGCTTAAAATGTATTGCTGATTAAAAGTTATAGCAATAACATGGTCTTATCTGTGTCTAATCCTTAATCGCGAGTTTCACTATCTTCCAACGAAGACAAGGAAAAAAGTTCTCAGAACATTCAGACAACCTTTACTTTAAAAATCCCATCTCTAGTTTTTTTTGTGTTAATATCAAATATTTGGCTAAGTTAATAAACCTAACATCATTTTTACATCAAAATTTAACAAAATAAACCCCAGGCGTAAACCATATTGTCGGTTATTGAGTAACCGGTGATTCTTCGTAGGTATATTTAGTGAATCACAACACATTTACTGAAACACTTATTTTATGATACGTTATTTCTTTATTCACTATTTAAGTGTTGAAAAATTACGTAAATTATTGTAATAGCTCACCATTTTGATAAGCTGTAAACCAGAATTTGTGTCATTGTGTGGTCTTCTTAATAGTTCCTTTTGCATTTCAGCGACTTTCGTAACTCGGCGTGGTACGAAACTATTAAGTTACATGGGTTACACATACAGCGTGATTTATGTCAGTGGATCTAGGACACTGTGGAGGTGTTCCAAGGCTCGTTCCCGATCGTGTAAAGCAACTGCACGAACTATTGATGACGTCATCCATTCTTTGAATCACACACACACACATGAGCCGGAATGCATTTCTAAAATAATTCTAAAGAAGATTTTTAAATAACATTTAAAATAAAATCTAAAATAATAAAATAATATGAAGAGTTTAGGTTATAAGTAAACCAAATAACACACGTATGTCGTAAGAGCCGACTAAGGGCGCAAAACAACGCAGGACAACAGCACTGCAAAAAGAAGGAAAACTTGACACAAATCCTATACCAACCCGTCTGGCCAGCGTGGTATAGTAGGCCAAAACCTACTTTCTAAGGAGAGGCCTATGTCCAGCAGTGGATTATTAAAGGCTGTTGATGTGATGCCTTATCGTATCTCAGTCTTGGGAAAGCATTGGCAGTCCACAGAGAATAATTATAATCATTTCATTCTCACTGTGTGATTTCAATTCAAAGTGTTGTTTAAAAGAAATATGCCGAGTATAATAGTTTTATTAAATATGTTTTTTTTTTGTGATTAAACTGTAATAACTAACAGTTGTAATGAACAATTTTGTCGTAGTATTTTGTGAATATATAAATATATTATAAGGTAGATAAATAGAACTTTCTTTTAATATAAACCATTACCAACATAATATTCGAATGTTTTTAAATTTTATAAATCTTTGATGTAGTTAAAGTAGAAATAGTAAACGGTACTAAACGGGTTTGAATTGACATTACTTTTTTTTATTTGTAGGACTTGTAACGTACATGTCTCGTCGTGGCGGTAAGGTATTATACCACGAAGGTTTTACCTACAGCGTCTGGAACGCAGGATTCGGTGGCAGAAAGAAAATGTGGAGGTGTTCTAAAAAACTTTCCAAAGGCTGTAAAGGAATATTGTACACGGTAGGAGATGAAGTTGTCCAATTCAAGAACTCACACTGCCATGATCCAGAATTCAAAATACATACATAGATAAACGACATTCTTCGTTTAAAAATATAATTTAAAGCCACGTTTTGTTTGCCTGTCTGTGTAGTGACGGATTAAGAATATGGAGTGTCACCCCTATTCGTCCCGTGGGACGTAAGATCCGACTAAGGGAGCAAACTACGCAGGACGAGAAAAGTACTGAAAAGAGAAGGAAAACCCTATACCAACCCGTCTGGCCAGCGTGGTATAGTTGGCCAAAATCTTCTTTGTAACTCCAGCAATGGTCTATTAAAGCCTGTGTTGATGATGATGTTGATGTTTGCCATACATTTGTGTACATATAACTTTTAAAAGTTGGTTTTGGTATTATTGTTGTATAGGAAAACATATTGTAGTATACGTACGATATATGTATAAATATCAACATTATTGGATTTTACAAATAGGTAACTTTTAACTGTGTTTATAATAATATAAAAACTTGTGTAGAGTTCTAAAATAAAAACGGTGGAAATGGTTCAGATGTAGAATATTAGATGCGTTTGATATTGCGCTTTATTAATCAGAATTGATCTTCTCACCTTCTCTTCTCCTCTCTTCTATTAAAGATGACAACACGTAAAGCGTTGTGGTTGAGGCGGTCACCTCGCCACTTTCTGCTGCGCTGAGTATTCTGGGTTCAATGCTCACGAGGGACATTACTTTGTGTGATCCACAAATTGTTGTTCTGAGTCTCGGTGGTGTTCTTTGTGTCCGTTTTATGTATGTTTGTCAAGTCCGCCGCGACACAGGATATATTTCTACTCCGGGAGTTGTCTTTTTTAATAAAGAGAATAAAATGAAGAGAGCTAAACAGTAATCCATTATACTATAGATAAACTGCCGTAAGCTTGGCCCTCCTGATGGTTTGGGGGACGCGGGGCGGGGGTGCATTCAACCAATTAGCTAGTGCGTCGCTGTCCGCCGGCAGTGACTGACGTGAAAGTATGGCTGTACGTGTTATTTTTCTTAAGACTGCTACACACGGTATTATTTTGCAACATGGATAATCTGCCGACTCTGCGACACAAAAAGTTTTAAAACTTGAAGTTCGGCTTACAGAGATTCTACTGTTAAAGTTCTAATAAAGAATATTTATTATTTTACATAATTTTTAAAATGTATCTGAATATAA